GCCCCTGACTCTTGCTGTCTTTGTCTGGAACTGAAGCTGAGTTTTTCTGTTCCTCCGCAGGATCCCAGAAAGGGCTTCGGCATTGCTATCTCAGGCGGCCGCGACCGTCCCAGCAACTTTGATGGAGACACCTCAATTATTATCTCCGACGTCGTGCCAGGGGGACCGGCCGATGGTCGACTCCTGTAAGTGACTGAATACCTCCCTGCGGCCGAGTGGGGTACCCGACTAGGGACACAGGGATTCCTGGTGGGATTCTCAAGTTCTCTGGGGCAGTGGGTATGGGCAGGCCAAAGTAATTTAGCTGACGGTTTGGGAAGAGAGATCGCAAGAAAATTATTGCTGCTGTTGGGAAGTGGGAGAAGCCTGTTCCTGACTTCAGTGTTCTTTCCCCTCCTCCTCGGCCTCCGTCCTGAACTGCAGGAACCGTGACAAGATCGCCATGGTGAACGGCCTCTCCATGGAGAATGTATCGTCGTCTTTCGCCATACAGACCTTGAAAAGCTGCGGCAAAGTGGCCAATATTGTAAGTGCAGGTAACGGGAATGGCTTTCGAGGGCTCGTGTGGCGAAATGCTTACAGCTGCAGTCCCTAACACGGTGCTGGTGGGGCGCCATGGTGTCCGACGACACTTTCCTCGCTGCCCGCCATTTGCTTTTAGAAAGTGGGTGGGGCCAGCTGAGGCTTTTGCCCAGCACGGCTTCTGATTGGCTGGCGCAGATTAAAAGGCATCTTGCGAAAGAGACCCTTCTCCCTGAAATGCTGAAGGGGGGACTATACATAATCTCTCTCCCTTACATTTTGTGGCCGTGCCCCAGTGTCCAATGGCGGACCTACATTTTGGGGGACCTGGAAGCTTGAACTGTTTGGAGGGGCCCCTTCTCAACCAGCAGCAATAGGGCAACATCCAATTTTGAAATCTGACCAATTACAGGGACATTTTGAGGCCATATGAAACGAGTATTGGAGCATATTCTAAGGTCGATATTAAGTGCTTCAACCCACGTGCTTATGGTCCTGCCACTAAAATAGCCTTATTTTTAATAACAAACACTTTGAAAAGCTCCATCATTTTTGTTGAAAAATTCACTCATTTTAAAAAAAGGTGCTTCAGGGGCCCCTCCAGGGTTAGGGGCCATGAAGCTGAAGCATCATTAACTTCATTGTAGATCTGCCCCTTTCAGAATTCCAGAGGTGCCCACAGAGGTGCTCAAAAAGGCTGGGGGCCTGTGGTTTACAGTATTGTTGTAGGATCTGGGAGATTGAGGGTCCAATCCCGTCTCTGCCATGGAGCTTATCCATGGACCCCGGGTCAGTTGCTTCTTGTCAACTTAATGTACCTTGTAGGGTTGTCGTAAGGATTAAATGAAGAAGGAAGAGCCACATATGGCATCGTGAATCAGACCTCTTGATCTCTCAAGGCTAGCGTCATCTATTCAGACTGGCAGTGGCTCTCCAGGGTCTCAGAGAGAAGTCTTTCCCATTACCTACTGTCTGGTTCTTTTAACTGGAGATGCCGGGGGTTGAACCTGGGACCTTCCATCCCCCAAGCAGAGGCTCTGCCAACTGAGCCACGGGCTCTTACCCAAAGGGGGGGGGAATCCAAAACCAACCTGATGAATACTGAACATGCTTTGGGCATCATGAATTGTTGAGAGTCAGGTGAAGGAAATGGACAACCCATTTGATGGTGGCGAGGTCATCATGGCCAACAGGGGCGTAGGCAGAAATTTCTGGGTGGTGTGGCAGGGACGCTGGGCAGGTGGGCCGTGGCGGTGCGTGTTGGAGTGTGCGCGCACCTCTGCCTCCCCCTGCCTCCAACCTGCTTCCAGCCTGCCTCCTCCGCCCTGCCGGCCATGTTGGAGCGTACGGGGAGCCACCTTTCCTCCCTCCCTTCCTCTGGCCTGCTGGCTGCCCTTTGGACAGCATGCCTGGCCCTGTGGGCAGCCATTCCCGGTACAGTGTCGGGGGCGTGAGACGTTCCTGGCAGATGACAGCGCTGTAGGGACGTATATTGCTGTTATTGTATATTATTGTCACTACTGTTTGTTGCTTAGCATAAATTATCTTGGAACCCCATCTTGAATCTTATAGTTAAATATCCTTGGAGCAGCGTGGAAGGAATTTTTAGTGAATTGTATTTATTGTGTTTTATACTGTTTTGTGTTGTTATATTTTTTTAACCTCGGCATTTATGCCCCTTGTGAGCCGACCTGAGCCTTCAGGGAGGGCGGGATATAAATTTAAAAATAAATAAATAAGAGGGGTGTGTGGCCCCGAAATGCCCCACTGTAGCCACGTTCCTGATGGCCAAGATGGAAGGGGGAGTGTTTTGGAGGTTGGAGGGGGTTTCCAAGGCGTTCCTTCCATCCTACAAGGCAACCAGTTTGTCTTCCTTCTATTTCTAAATTCTGCATTTCTGTGTGGATGATGTTTTAAGGCATTTACTTTAGTCAAAGAGATGTGTATTCTTTGGGGGGGATAGAAAAATCAGTTGTTTGCACAAAATCTGTGCGGTGGTGGAAATTCGCACAGACAAAAAAGCACGCTGTGGGATGTATCTTATTGTCTGTGTGCCATTGGCTGAGCCATGAAGTTAAGGAATGTCTGCGAACATTTGAACAGCTGAGGGGAAAGCTACAATTCTGGCCACTTGTTTTGGATCAGTAAAAGCAATGCTTTTTTTTTGTAGCTTATGAAAATAACTGCATGTTTGTGTGTGGTGTTGAGTGATTCCGTCCCTCATCAGAATACAATTTCCTTTGACTTTTTGGCAACCGGGGAGGGGGGAGATGTCTTCACCGAGCACCAAGAACTTCTCAAATAAGCGTTTCTCTTCTCTTCTCTACTGGCAGACAGTGAAAAGACCCCGGAAAATCCATCTCCCGGTCACCAGCCAGCCCAAGAGCCTACCGGCATCTGCTTCACGACCAGCCAATGCCGGACGCTACGACTCCGACGAGGAGTACGCCTATCAGGCCGACAAGTCCTTGCCGCCTGGCACCAGCAGACATCCCAGCTACGGCCTGCGCCAGGCCGAGGCCGATCACAACCGAGGCTACGAGGGTGACTCCTCCAGTGAGCGGAGCTCTGGCCGCTACCGTGACGAAGGCGATTCTCCCCGCAGGCAGCCAATCCGGAGCAGGAGGCGAAGCCACGACGGGAGCCACCGGAGGCGGAGTCAAGACAGTGATTCCGATCGGCAGCCGTTCACCAACGGCTACAGCAACCAAGGCAGTGCGAGTGGGCTGGCTTTGGTGTCTGGGTTCAAGAGGCTGCCAAAGCAAGATGCTCCCATGAAACCTGTCCGGTCGACCCTGGTGAAGAGCAAAGAGAATGAAGGTATGAAGCAGACCCTCTCCCCTGCTGCCTCCTCACACGGAGCCTCTTATTTGTTTGAACACTAGATTTTTTATCCCAATGGATACACCAGAGTCTATCGTTTCATAGGGAAACCATGTTGATCTGTAGTAAAACAGCTGGATTAAAGTCTGTTACCACTGTAGAGACCAACAAGGATTTCGGGGTATGAACGTTTGAGAGTCAGCTACCCAGGCCCGTAGCCACAGTACGGCATTTGGGGCCCCGCCCCCTAATTAAAAGCCCTGCCCCACAAACAGCCATGCCAGAAACCTTGTGTGTGTGTGTAGAAACCTTATCTTCTCCCCCCTCTTTTTTAAATTGATAAGGAATAGAAATTACAATTAACAAGCAGTGATTTACATATATACTTTTCAAAGTCCAAAGAATAAATCAAGGCAAGGAGATTAAAGCTCGGCCGCGATGACCTGGCTACAGTGATCCATGCGACAGTCACTTCTAGGTTAGACTACTGTAATGCTCTCTACATGAGGTTGCCTTTGGGGCAGATTCGGAAGCTGCAGCTAGTGCAGAATGCAGTGGCCAGGCTGATGATGGGTCTCCCCAAGTGGGAGCACGTCCAGCCTGGGCTGAAAGCGCTGCACTGGCTGCCAATAGCGTACCGAATCCGTTTCAGAGTGCTGGTACTTACCTTTAAAGCCCTATATGGCCAGGGTCCGGAGCTCTTCCGCCAGGCTTTCACATAGGGGCTGCCACTACCACCACCACCAATGAGGTGGATAACATTGGGGTTAAGGATGGCCCAGGAAGATCTGCCACAATTTCTGTGTGACTGATACCACCGGATTTACCTGGTTGGGATCAGCTATAGGACAACATCATCTCCGGAGACCTGTCTGTTTACCATCTTGGCATATATCCAGGGACCATCTTGCTTTCAATTGAGTACTATTGTTGTTGTGATTAATTGTTTTTATTGCTTTTACCTTGTTTTATATGGACTTTGCCCCTTGTAAGCCGCCCTGAGCCCGCTTTGCGGGGAGGGCGGGGTAAAAATCCCAATAAATAAATAAATAAATAAAGCTAACATTAAAGGTAATGCAACTGGTAAAACTGGCAAATTGGGATATAACTGTAAATACACATTGTTGGTCTCAACAGTTGGCGATAAGATCTAGAAAAATAATGCATTGAGCTCCGGTACAATGTGATAAAGTAGCTGTGTGGCTGCTGAACTGAAGTGGGCATAGTGCACTAGAGATACTATGCCTTAGATCACTGCACCTGTGAAAATAAAGGGAAAAAAAGAAAAGGAAAGGGGGGAAAAGAGGGGACTGAAAGAAAACAATAAATAGATGAATAAAAAAAGGAAAGAAATATGGAAAGAGGTAAAGATGGCAAAGAGAGCTTGGTTAAAGCAAAAGCATTTGTCTGTGTACTGGATTAAAGGTAAAGGTTCCCTTGCTCGAAAGCCAGTCGAATCTGACTCTAGGGTTGCGGTGCTCATCTCCATTTCAAAGCCGAAGAGCCAGCGCTGTCTGAAGACGTTTCCGTGGTCATGTGGCCGGCATGACTAAACACCAAGGTGCACGGAACGCTGTTACCTTCCCACCGAAGTGGTACCTATTTATCTACTTGCAATTTCTTGCTTTCGAACTGCTAGGTTGGCAGGAGCTGGAACTAGAGACAGGAGCTCACCCTGTCTTGCGGCACCCGGGTCTTGAACCGCTGAACTACTGACCTTCCACAGCCTGCAGTTCAGCGTCTTAACCACTTGAGCCACCGCATCTCCATGTGTACTGGATTAGGAGGCAGTAAATCTTGCACAAGTATATATTCAAAAAAGGGGAACCATTTCTCCTCGAATGATGTTCTCCTAGGATAGAGATCAAATTGAAGTAGCTTATCAGTGATTTTCTCCACCATCAGATGGTCCCATATCTTCAAAAGCCAGGCGTCTATGAATGGGTAGCGATGGCGATTTCCAGTAGGATGCTAATATTGTTTTGGCGGCTGTTAGTAGGTTTTGGGTGAGCTCCCATTTGATTCTGGGAATCAAAGGATCTCGAACGTGTTGTTAAAAAGATCAATTCTGGGAGTAGAGTATCCTGTAATTTGTTTGATATGTGTGAATGTTACTCCAGGAGACTCTTGTGCTTGGGCATTGCCACCAACAGTGAGCAAAGGTGACAGTGCGGAGCCAGAGTAAGAGACCAATGCCATCTTCTGAGGCGTGATGTACCACCTGGACAAGATTTTATGATTGCAATCTGACATGCGCAGAAGAGGAGGATGCTAGAGAGTTATGCCAAATATTAGAAGAAGAGAGGAGAAGAGATTGGATTTATACCCCCGCCCTCACTCGGAGTCTCAGAGCGGCTTACAAACTCCTTTCCCTTCCCCTCCCCACCACAGATACCCTTTGAGGTAGGCGGGGCTGAGAGAGCTCTTTCCAGAACTGTCCTTACGAGAACAGCTCTGACAGAACTATGGGTTGCCCAAGGTCATCCAGCAGGTGCAAGTGGAGGAGTGGGGAATCAAACCCGGTTCTCCCAGATTAGAGTCTGCACACTTAACCACTACACCAAACTGGGCACTGAGCATCTGTAATGTTGATTCCGCAATCTCGAGACAAGCCAGTTGACAGGGCAAAGATTTAATAGATGTACGTTGAAGTAGAATGTGGTAAATTTTCTTAATAAGACCTCGAGAATTAGTGACGTCAGAGTTCAGTATGTCTTTGAAGCTAGTGTAGGATATCAGACATTTGTATTGTGGTAGCCGTATGTTGCAACTATAGATAGAAGAACCATGGAAATTTTTTGTTGACGTTTTTTCTCTAGTAAAAGCAGGGCTTTTTTGTAGGAAAAAACCAGCAGGAACTCATTAGCATAATAGGCCACACCCCTGACAGCATAGTTTATTAGCATATTAGGCCACACCCCATGATTTCCCTTGGCTTGCCTGGGAACCCCACGGCTGCGGGGAGCCTGGGCAAGCCGGCTCTTGGACAGGCCGGGGAAGGCATGGGGAGGCATTTAAATGCCTCCCAGATCCTTCCAGGACCCCCCTGGCCTGCCCACCTCAGAGTCGCCGGGGGGGTTTTTTGACTCTGTAGCCACGCACACAGAGGTTTTGGCTGTAGTGGGCGGGGCCAACTCTAAGCCGAAGAGCCAGCGCTGTCCGAAGACGTTTCCGTGGTCATGTGGCCGGCATGACTAAACACCAAGGCGCACGGAACGCTGTTACCTTCCCACCGAAGTGGTCCCTATTTATCTACTTGCAATTTCTTGCTTTCGAACTGCTAGGTTGGCAGGAGCTGGAACTAGAGACAGGAGCTCACCCTGTCTTGCGGCACCCGGGTCTTGAACCGCTGAACTACTGACCTTCCACAGCCTGCAGTTCAGCGTCTTAACCACTTGAGCCACCGCATCTCCATGTGTACTGGATTAGGAGGCAGTAAATCTTGCACAAGTATATATTCAAAAAAGGGGAACCATTTCTCCTCGAATGATGTTCTCCTAGGATAGAGATCAAATTGAAGTAGCTTATCAGTGATTTTCTCCACCATCAGATGGTCCCATATCTTCAAAAGCCAGGCGTCTATGAATGGGTAGCGATGGCGATTTCCAATAGGATGCTAATATTGTTTTGGCGGCTGTTAGTAGGTTTTGGGTGAGCTCCCATTTGATTCTGGGAATCGAAGGATCTCAAACGTGTCGTAAAAAGATCAATTCTGGGAGTAGAGGTAGCGAGTATCCTGTAATATGTTTGATCTGCGTGATTGTTGTACTTGGGCATTGCCACCAACAGTGAGCAAAGGTGACAGTGCGGAGCCAGAGTAAGAGACCAATGCCATCTTCTGAGGCGTGATGTACCACCTGGACAAGATTTTATGATTGCAATCTGACATGCGCAGAAGAGGAGGATGCTAGAGAGTTATGCCAAATATTAGAAGAAGAGAGGAGAAGAGATTGGATTTATACCCCCGCCCTTCACTCGGAGTCTCAGAGCGGCTTACAAACTCCTTTCCCTTCCCCTCCCCACCACAGATACCCTTTGAGGTAGGCGGGGCTGAGAGAGCTCTTTCCAGAACTGTCCTTACGAGAACAGCTCTGACAGAACTATGGGTTGCCCAAGGTCATCCAGCAGGTGCAAGTGGAGGAGTGGGGAATCAAACCCAGTTCTCCCAGATTAGAGTCTGCACACTTAACCACTACACCAAACTGGGCACTGAGCATCTGTAATGGTGATTCCGCAATCTCGAGACCAAGCCAGTTGATAGGGCAAAGGTTTAATAGATTTACGTTGTAGAATGTGGTAAATTTTCTTAACAAGACCTCGAGAATTAGTGACATCAGAGTTCAGTATGTCTTTGAAGCTAGTGAGCGATGAGTGTAGGATTCGTATTGTGGTGGCCGTATGTTGCAACTATAGATAGAACCATGGAATTTTTTTGTTGACGTTTTTTCTCTAGCAAAAGCAGTGCTTGAAAAAGCCCAGCAGGAACTCATTAGCATAATAGGCCACACCCCTGACAGCACAGCTCATTAGCATATTAGGCCACACCCCATGATTTCCCTTGGCTTGCCTGGGAACCCCACGACTGCGGGGAGCCCGGGCAAGCCGGCCCTTGGAGAGACTGGGGAAGGCACTGGGAGGCATTTAAATGCCTCCCCGAACCTTCCAGGGCCCCCCTGGCCTGCCCGGCTCAGAGTCACCGGGGGGGGGTCGCTCTCCAGGCCTTCCCTCTGTAGCCACGCACGCAGAGGTTTTGGCTGTATTGGGCGTGGCCAACTCTGAAGCCAGCCGGAACTCCGTCCCTGTGCGTTCCTGCCCAAAAATAGCCCTGAGTAAAAGTTTTGGTGCAAGGTCATGATTTAGAGCTAAGTCTTTCAGCCGTTTAGCCTTTCCATAGTGAGGCGATTTGTGGGTTTCCTCCCAGTGAAAACCAAGATTGGAATAAGAAAGAAGAAAATCTTGAGTGCTTTGGAACTAGCCTTTGTATGTATCCCATAGTTTGAGAAGAGTTGTAAAAAATATGTTATTACAGAGTCCATGAGGGTGTGCTGAGGTTTCAGTCCAGATGGCATCTTGTAGAGTGAGAGGATGTAGGAAGGGATCTAGTGTTAAGGCCAAGTGTGGTTGTTTTTTAGTTTTTAAGATTTTCACAGTGTTTGACAGTATAGTTGCCTTACAGTATGTGGTGACATCCGGATAGTTGAGGCCTCCTTCTGTCACCCTCAGTCTCAGTGTTTTAAAACCAATTCGCGGACTCTTGTTTCTCCAAAGGAAGTTGTTGATGGTCGTTTGCCAATTCCGTAGAGTTTTTTGAAGGTATCTCCACGGGTATTGTCCAAAAGAGGAATACGAGTTTGGGAGGAACAAATTATTTTACAAGATGAAATCAGTCATGCCTTGAGATGGACTGTCGATCCCATTTGTTAAGATCCGCTTTCATTTCACGAAATTTGTGGTGATGATCGAATTTCAACAATGTTGTCGGAGAACACACACACACAGGCAGCGGCACCATGGCTTGCCCTCGGGCTTCCTTCTCCCTCCTACTTGTGGAGTTCTTGGGGGGCATCATGGGACCTGGGAAAAGATAGCTCAGGAGGCATTTAAATTTGCATGTTTCCCAAAGGCTTATGGGAGTGCTTTTGAAGACTCACCATGACCTGTCCTAGGAGGTGGTCTACAACAGGACTGGGCTAGCAGAAAGGGGAATTGTTGGAGATGCATTGAAGGTACCACTCCTGTGTGCCCTTCTAAGCTTTCTTGCCCTGTGAAAGGAAATCCAAAAGGCATTTAAATGCCATCCGAGCTGTCTTTTCCTAGGAACTGATGCGCTTGCTGTCCTGTCTCTTGAAAGGAAGGGCTAGAAACAGGCTCGGAGCCTCCCCCTTTAAAGGCAGCCATTCAGATTAATCTAATTAACTGTAATTCAACTGCCTCCTTAAAGATTTAAATGCTTCCTGAACAAAGAAATCCTGGCTACGGGCCTGCTCATACCCTGGACTCGGACCTAACCCGAATCTTTCACTATTTTGGCCATCAAGAGAGCCTGTTTGGTGTAGTGGTTAAGTGCGCGGATTCTAATCTGGGAGAACGGGGTTTGATTCCCCACTCCTCCACTTGCACCTGGCTGGATGACCTTGGGCAAGCCGTAGTTCTGATGAGAGCTGTTCTTGAAAAAGAGCAG